TTTTATCGTAACATGTAATTTTATTGTAAAAAATTCTTAGTATTATCTTAAAATCTATTTTCATACCTCATTAAAAAAATTTAAAGTTCAAAGTGAACATGTAATTTTTTTATTCATATTGGTAACAAATAGCTAGTCAGTTCATCATTTGACTTGCAAGATTCAATGAACTTACAACAGATAGAAGGTCTTAAGCAAGTGTGAGCATAAATCCAAATATGTTTGTTTAGATACTTCATTCTATAACAAATAGACCCTTGATTATATTACCTTCTCTGGAAGGCTAGCTATTTGTTACCAATATGAATAAAAAAATGATTTTACACAAACTTGGACCTAATTTGAGCTGTGCTTTGTAATCTTTTTGCATTTGTTCCTTTTTGTCAACTTTAGTTTTGTCCATGAGACTTAGGATTCCCCTCTCTTAACCAAAAAAAAAAAGTAAAAGCAAAGAGCTGTACCTATTGGGTTTTCCATTTGACTAACTCATAATACTTACAAAGTAATCTGATTTATATGCAGCAATAAGGGGATATGCATTATCATATCTAGCGTCTTCTGCTGAAAGGATCCGTTTTTTGCTTGGTACCCCTGGAATGGTGGCTCTGGACATTGATGCAACCTTGCGGAGTCTTTTTCAGCAAATGGTGCATTGCCTTGAGACTTTACCAAAATCCCAACGGGAGAACATGTCTGCGGTTACATGTGACTTATCTGTAAGGGTTACCTCCTCCTCCTCCTTGTATCTTATCAGTAATCTATGATATATCTATGCCTTTGGCTCAAGAAAATCTAAGCAAACTATCTATTGATTGTCGGTTCTTGCTAACTTAATTCAAGAGTTTTGAATGCTTTTCTTTATGTATTTTTTATATACACCTGTGGATTTTCTCATACATCTGATAGTAATACAATCCGAGGAATGTAATTACAAACTACCGTATTTATTGTAGCTTCAGTAACCTATATGTCTGATATTTATTGTGGCTTCAGTAACCTATATGTTCAGTAAACTATCTCCTCACCAAATTGGTACTTGTATTGTATGTTAAATATTGGAAGTATGGAGGAGGGGATGAAAGTTAAATATATTGTCCTTAATTTGTATCTCTTTTTAATAGGATCATACAGTAGAATAGTGGCTTCCTTTGCGACTATGAATGCACATGTCATAGGATAGTCTTGTGTTAGGGTACGAACTCATGTCCCATGAGTCATGACCATCCTATACAGGGCCGTTACTAAAAAAGTACTTGGGTTTGATATTTTCTTTTTGGTTCTCCTACCCGTAGCCAAACACATCAACCATGAGGCACACTCATAACCATAGTCCTGACTTGGAGGTGACACTCACCTCCGCAAGAGATTACTCTCTCATTGAAGTCACTCATTGCCTCATGTACTCGGTATATGCTTCTGGGCCCTAGTATGCCAAGCACCCAGAATCATTCCTTCTCACTCACTCCCGCTGAGTGAGAGAATTCTTAGCTTTAAGGCCTTGAAAGGCCATAAATCCAACTGTCAACAGAGATGTGGGTAAGGCTCTGTTTGCATAGGAAGCTTTTGCATTTTAGTTGCAAGAATCTTGTACTTTGGTAGCTTACCACACCTCAATACTAGTGTTGTTTACTGATTACTGGCCAAAACCAAATAGAAAATTTGTCTGTATGGGCCTTGCTAGTGAGTCGGCTCTCTGTAGCCATAGAAAGGGACTTGGCTCTCTGTGGCCATCGACGGGGACAAGGCCAATGTGATTGCATGGGGTAGTGGAAGGATGGAGTGCCCATGGCACTACACAAAATATTTGAGGAGCTATTCACATAATCAGTGGGCCAAGGGTATCCTTTCATTGCTTATGGAGGCAGTCAATGAGTCTGTATATTTGTTAGCAAGATATGGAGTCTATAAAACATCTCTGGCAGTAACTCAGTTTGATACTCAGAAAATCATGCACAGACTATATTTTGTGTGATAGATACTCATTTGCGTGTGTATGTGTGTGTTGATATGACAGATTTTATACATCCATTTGTTGATCAATGAAGCTAAGAATTAAAAACAACAAAGTCTGTTTCTTAGACGATTTTTTAGTAAAATTTAGATTCTATTCAAGGTATTTCTTTGATCTCTTTGCAGAAAATAAGAAACATAAAATTTATTTATATGTATGCAAGATGCCTCATGGCTAGCCCAAATCAAATAGTCAAATGCTTTATATTCTTTAATAGGATGAAGTATATAAATCGTCATATAACTTGTCTAGTTTTTTTATTTTGGGAGACTTTTCTCCCTTGAAAATCCAGGACAGAATAAATCTGGTGATTTTCAAACACCAACCTTCATGCATAATTTCATTTACCAAAAGATCATTTTTTTAAGCGTAATTGTTTTGTACTGTATTCATAGATAAATGTTCTACAAAATTGGCTTACATATGTGATACAGACAAGAATTCTGGATATTAAAAGGAAGGATATCACAAGTTATCTTATCGGGGCAACGAGTAGGTTCAATCTGGAGAGTCCTCTGGTTAGACCATCTGCAAGCTCATTTGATGCTCTTCATGAGAATAGAAAAAGAAAAAATGAGGCTGTTAAAATGTTGGATTATATAGTTTACTAAGAGATGATGGTGTGCGTTATATTTAAAATGCTCTGCACTAGCTATCAAGAGAACTAGATCAAACCGTTCTTAAAGTATACATGCCAAACCTTTTTTCAAGTGTGTATTCTAGGATTTGCACAATTAAATTTTGTAGTATGCATTCCAAACCTATTTTCAAATCTATGGATCTGCTCATGCTCCCCATTCCATGATCAGTAATTCAGCTTGTCATATACCCCCTCTACGTGTGATATTAGTATGAAATTTGAGTTTAATATATTTGCAAAGTAGCTGATGGAGAAAGAAACCACAGAAAGAAGAAAACAAAGATCTGAGGTATTGATTCAAAGATAATCGAGGCTTATATGCCAAGCTTCAATGATTACCAATGATTTGAACAGGAATCACAATGCATAAATTCTCAAAACTGCCGTCATCCTTATCCTTTCATTATAATCTATTATAGACCAAATCCTAACCAAAATTTCCTTTCGACTTGTAATCTAAACAAATCTACCCCTAAACTTAGAACAGCCAAGAAGACTTACTCGACTTGGCTGAAAGTCACCCCTTTAAGACTTGGCACATCCCACGCCGTTTTACATAAACAATGGCACACTCTGATCCTATTGGCCCTGCTGAATTCTTTGAGTTGGGAAGCTCTTTAGGTAATATGATGCAGGAAGGAAAAGCAGGAAATTAAATCCACTTTTTTTCTAAACCTTAATTAAGTAAAATCAGCAATATTGGATAAAGAACATGGCTGTAAATCAAGTTAAGAGAAGAACTTTTTTCTTTCACAAAATAATTTTCATTCTCATAACATATCCCAAAATATGATATCTATTCTTTTATAAGCATATGAAACCCTAATTTAACTTGAGATCCAAGTAAACATTTCAGACTCTAAAATATCTCTAAAACATTGCTAAAATTTCAAAAACACCCAGTGAACAGTAACTCGTGAATAGTAATTGTGAACAATACTATGAATAGTACTTGTGAATAGTAAATACTAAAATATAAGAAAACCCTAAAATTTCAAAAAAACTTAAAATGCTAAAACTAAAATCAAAATCTACATCCTTTAAAATTGAATAGAAATTAAAAATCCATCCCTCAAATCGAAAATGATGTTCCCTACATCTAGGTCTTCTATCACTATCCTCATCATCCGACTCCACGCGTTGAGCGCGAAAGTGAAAAGGCTTGTACTCGAGATCCTTTTGGGCTGAAAGATCACCTTCTTACTCATTATTGCAGCTCGCGAATTGTTGCGCTTGCAGCTGTACTTGCATTTCGAGTTCCTCTATTATGTCATCTATGAGATCACAAAGTGGATCTAGAAAAATCCCTCTTTTACAACCCCTCATTGCTGCCATGAGTTCGCTGAAATCACAAATCCTAGACAAATAATCAATAAAAATTGTTGAAATCAACAATATTTAGGTTGTTTTGGTAAAACTTATGTCAAAATCAACAAACCCTAGATCCCTATTATAACTTCCCCACTTTGTTGTGGACCTAAGGCACCAAAAAAATGATGCTACAGTAACTCTTACAGTGCTACAATACTTTCTGTGTAGATTGCGGGCTCTGATACCACTTCATGCAAGAAGAAAAGATGGGAAGTTTGTTGAGGATTTAGCCCTGGCTCTCACAAGCTTACATCCCCACATAGGAGGCCACGAAGTTCTCATGTCTTATAAACTATCCCTGGGCGTCTCTCCAACCTCAATAAGAGATGACCATAAAAAACCCCTCTACATTAGGGCCATATGCCCAGGGGAAAGGGTCTTATACATGACCAAGGCCATAGACCGCCTAACCCTAGGTCAGCCAATTAACATACATACTTTTACTGAAGTGTATAATCATATATAAATCATTATTTACATGCTCTCATAGGCTTTAAAGGCCACAAACCCTAACAATACCACTACAGCCTTAGGCTCCTCTAATGGCCATCATGTGCAACTAGTGTCCAAGGCACTTGAGCCAACCACCTTTGACCCACTCTGACACCAGATTGATGGAGAAAGAGATCACAAAGAAAACGAAGATCTGAAGTATTGATTGAAGAATAACGGAAGCTTACATGCCAAGCTTCAATAAGACAGAAATTACAAAGCATAAAATATCAAGACTGCCATCCTTTCATTATAATTATTTAGAGACCTAAATCTAACGTGGACCAACTGTTATATACTCGAAATTTGGACCTTAAAAAAAAGAAAGAAAAAGAAAAGAAAAAACAAGAAAGTCCAAAATTTACTTCTACCCTTCACTCAAAAAAGATGAATCTACCGTTAAACTTGCACTAGAAAGTTTCCAAGGCCAATTTGGCATTCTTTTAGCAAATCGTACTGGCAATATTGGTTTTGCATGTACACAACCCTTCCGATACCTTTTACACCAGTGGTCATAAGCAGTGATTCAAAAAGTGGACCGCCCAGTTCCTAGGCGGTATGGAATCCGCCTAGGTGGGCGCTCAGCGCCCAGCCCAGGACCTACGCCCCGCCCAGAGGCGGAAATGGGTTTGGTGGGGGCATTTTTTATCCGTTTTTTTTGTACTAAAGGGCCAAAAGTTGGGTTTTTAGGTTTATTTGAAACCTAAAACTTATTGGAACCCATTTTAGAGAGAGAAAGGCCCCAAAAAACTAGTTTTTGGTGAATTCTTTAGGATCGAAGGGTTTCTCAAAGTTAACAAAAATTGATCAAAACATCACCCATTGATATGAGATTTAATTTTTGATGTTTTATACTGGTGTATTGTAGATAGTGGATTTGTAGTTTCACTAGTTTGATACTTTGGTTTGGTAATTTAGTTGGTTGGTAAATTTTGAGTTTTAATTGGATATGGAGTTACCAACTTATGGAGTATGCGCTAAATGCTAATGTGTAGTATAATTTGAATTATGATGTGCTCTAAATACCTAATTTTTATTTTTTGTACAATATATGTAACTGTTTAAACTGTAAAATCCTTTTTGGATTCAACTGGGCTGCCCAAGTTTTGGGTGCCCGCCTAGACGTTGGGCGACCTGGATCCCCTAGGCCGCTCAGGAGCCGCCTAGCGCTTTTTGAAGCACTGGTCATAAGCCCAAGTTGTGTATATAGTCAAGCCCAAGTGGTCATAAGCCCAAGTGGTCATAAGCACATGTATACAGCCCAAGTTGCACACGTTGTCTATACAGCCCTTCCGATACCTCGGGGAGGTACAGTGCCGAAATCGGCTAAATCACCGGCGCATATGATCCATTTATGTTGTTACCCGTATTGTGAGCGCACCATATCTGTCGCTCAGAAAATTAAATTTGTACAAAAGTTTCTGGATGCCTGGGTCTAGCACTTGAGCTTCAGTTGTGTCCATCCTTCCCTTGTATCCTACAATTTCCTAGAGCCTCATTGAGGACACTCTGTGAGTCTCATTCATTTATATATGGAAATAAGTGTCTGAGTTATTTTTCATCAACTGAATATGACACTTACCTGGAATTCTGGTTCTCATTCATATAAAATTAGATGGGGGTGCTGGACTGTGCCCAACTAAACATAAAGTAGTTCACTTATATGTAGGCAAACAACAGGCCACGGTGAAAAGTTCAGTGATATTATGACATACACTGACAGTGATACAAATTGTTATTTCACCGAAAGTCAAAACCAGCAGTTCATATGCATTAGAATCAAATAGAAGCATTTGTGTCCACTTGTATACGAGTTTGTTTTGATTTCAGTATCATGTTGCTAAAGCAACCAAGGTGATGAATCCAAACAGATATGATTTTGCATTTAACGACCGAAAACTGTTGATCCTATTAGGAAAAGAGCCTGGGCTTAATTGGTTAGCTCTTGAAGATTTGCAACGCTACATCTTAGGCTCATTTCCTACCAGGGTAGGGGCCCTCTCCCCACTGACTCACCCAAAAAAAAAAAAAACTGTTGATCCTATTTGTATAAGAACACTATTTTGTAGTATGAGGAAAACGACTATTGGAACACTTTGCAGCCCTGGAGAAAAGAAAATTTAAAATAATTAATAATATTTAGATCTTCAACACGCTCAGACATGATTTGGAAAAGCATATACTTATTGCCTTCCCCAATTTTTAAAAACGGATTGGAGGGGTGGATCATCCGCCTCCGTTCACTATCCTTGTTAGCTGGATCGGCTGGATCGGCTGGATTGGCAATTCTAATCGTTCTCGGATCGTCTGGATCGGTGATCAATAAAAAATTAAAAAATAAATGAAATAAAATTCAAATTTATAAGTAGAGGTTTATGGGGTGGGGATTTAAGGGGGAATGCCAGCTACACTTTTGTATATGTCAAGCATTGGTGGAACATGATTCATCTGCTCAGCACTTGTACTGAATTCTATCAGCACTTATACTGAATTCTATATCCGGAACTCAGTTTCATTTATTCAAACTTCAGAAGCAGTCTTCAATGTGCTCATCTTTTCTGAATTTGGTGCTCCTGTGCTTCCAGGAATTGCGTAAGACCTGGTTATCGATTTTAATGATTGTCACTTCTTCCCGGTCAGCTATAAATATCAGACACCTGGAGAAAGCTACAGTCTCTACAGGGAAGGAAAGTCTGGTATCAGAAGGAAATGCTGTTTACAGTTGGTCAAGGTGCTTCCCTTTAAATTTAGTTTTCTTCACATCCTCATTTACATGGGGTTTCTATTTTCTTATGGGATATGTATGGCATAGCCAATGAGGAAAACAAATATGACTCACATTTTTTCAGGATGCTACATCATGTAAATGCATAGTAACTTGTAATCCTAGCAAATATTCTGAAGCAATTGTAGGTTGCAATTATAAATAGACTGCCGAGCAGATATCATAAAAAATGTCTGGAGTTATCATGAAGTGTTTTACAGTTGCCATTATAGTGATGTGACCTTACAATGCAAACCAAATGGTATCTTTACTCACGTAATGACTTATAATAGTGGCCAATAGTTTAGAGGTCCAATATTTTCTCACTGTACATCAATGACAAAAGGATTCTTCTTTTACCTTTTTGCTGATTGTCTGGTATAATATGCTGGCTATTCGCCTTTGGACTCCTTTTTTACTGTTTTTGGTTGAAGAATGTCTCAGATGGTCGACCATGGTTATTACATTTATCTTGAATGTTTCTGCTTGCAGATGTGTTGATGAACTTGAATCTCAGTTATCAAGGCATGGGAGTCTTAGAAAACTCTATTTCTATCATCACCATCTTACAGCAGTAAGACTTCTGCCAAATTTTCTTTTTTATCTCACTGACTGCACATGCTTGACTCTATTGATTTTCATTATATTGTTATTCCAGTTTATCTTAGAGTCATCTCATTCATCTTCCTTCAAAATAAAGTTTTATATTTCCATATGAGAATTGTTTTTGTGGTGTAATTATAATTGTTGGGATAAGGCTCGGATGATGATGTTGATTATCATCTCAAGATTTTCTTCTTCAAATCAGGTCTTCAGGAACACCATGTTTGGACCTGAAGGACGCCCACAACACTGCTGTGCCTGGCTTGGTGTGGCCAGCAGTTTTCCTGAGAATGCCTGTATAAGTTTGCCAGAGGAGGTACTGTGAAATACATTCCTATCCACCTTATCTTTGATAGAAATGCTTTTACAGAGTGATTAATCAAATAATATGATTTTATTTGTCAATTGAAAATGGTTTAGCTTGGATGGTAGCAACCCGGCTTTTCTATATGGGTTGATTCTTTTAAAGATGTCAATCTATCCGGGATTCATTGACATGAGTTCTCTTGTTTTATATGATTTAATGTCTTCATCTCCTCAGGATGAGTTCAGGATGTTTCTAAAGTTTAGTGGAGTAAACCAAGCATAACGTTCCAAAGATTTTTCTTCTGAAAACTTCCAAAACCCTAGAGGAAATATAGGTTCTCTGTTCTCTTACTCTAGTACATGTAGTAATGTAGGACCATAACTGTGGACTAAAATGCAGCATGCATATGTACATTCTCAGGATATTTTGTTGTTTCATACAAGGTTTCAGAAACTGCATGCAAATTATTCTTTGAAAATATACGGTATCCAAATTTCTCTATGGTTCCAACCGAACTCCCAACTACAAAAATTATCCTTGATAAATGTTCAAGGTAACACAAGTAGCTTCTTCTCATAAATCGAAAGCACACTTTTATGGTTCATCTATATCTGCACACCTATACACATCTCTTTAAAATGAAACAAATTGCCCATTTAGGGATTAATGTGTTTCCATTTAGAGGGACACAAGAATTTCCATTTCCTATTTTTATAGGGCAATAGTTTTCTAGATAACTCAAGCATGTTTATGGGGAAGCTCCCCCCCCCCATAAACAGGCTACAAGGAGACCAAATAAACAAGTTTTTTGTTATACTATGCGCTAATCAATTCATAAAGTTGGTTATACATTTAATTCTAATATTTGCCATTATTATTTGGAGAATAAGTGTGGGGCATTTTTGAACCAAATCCACTCCTTTTCTTCTGAATGCAGGTCACTAAAGTAGGCCGTGATGCAGTTGCATATGTTGAATCACTTATAGAATCCATCATGGGTGGATTGGAGGGATTAATCAATATTCTAGACTCAGACAGTGGACTTGGCTCTGTAGAGCTTCAGGTTTGTTTCACCTTAACTGAGATATTATCTGCCCTGTGTAGGCCTATGGTTAACTCATATGCATAGAATTTGTCAGCTTCTTCCAGAGCAAGCAGCAATTCGTCTGAACCATGCTTCACGAGCCTCAGCCACTCCAGTTAGACCGGTTAAAGGATTATCTGATCTACCCTTGCCTGGCCATGAAAGTTGCCCAGAAAACAGTAATTCTATCAAAATGTAAGCTCTTATGATTTACCAGAGGCTTACTTGCCTTTCCGTTGATGGAGCTGGTTTGTTTCTGAAATTTATGTAATTGACAGGATAGAGGCTGCAATGCAGAGGTTGACGAATCTTTGCTCAGTTTTGAATGAGATGGAACCAATATGTGTTCTCAATCATGTTTTTGTTCTACGTGAGGTAATTTGCATTGTGGTTGTAAACTAGCACATTATACCCTGGGACCTAATGGTATACACCTGCAGTTCAACCCTTGAAGTTTGTCCCAGAGCAAATGAAGCTAAATCTACCTTTCTTTTTTCTAGGTTGTATACTAGCGCATTATTCTCTTTATATAAAGTTATGAAACAGCTTAGTTTAACGCCTAAACCTTTAGATTGTAGGATTTAATAGGTGGTCTTCTGTTTCAAGTGTTCGTTATTTTTTTTCTTCAATATGTTTTGGATGGTTTTAGTTTCTATACTGCTGATGCAATGTTTTCTAAAAACTTTCCTAATGTTAAGACTGGATGCTCTTATCAATATGATTGAATT